GATTCTCCCGTAGTGCCTCTAGAAGGAATGCAGCCCTGCCAACATCTTGAGTTTAGCCCCATAACACTTCTAACCTACAGAACACAAAGATAATAAATTTGTATCGTTTTAGGAAAATTCCCTCCAATATGTCTCTTAATATATATCTCCTACCGGTTCTTCTTCTCTGATTGAACGCTGACTGACATACATAGTAACCGCTTTGATTCCCTTTTAAAAATATATGAAATATCAAATTCATTAAAAGTTTTCATTGGAGCCCCTGTTTGGTTGACAGCTTGAGTGTTTTCTAAGCTCTGGGAAAAGAGTGATGAACAAGACATTAAGTTTCCACACCTGTAAAACTGGGCTAATCAGAGTACCTCCTGGGGTTATTATACAGATTAAATAAGTCACTGGGCATAATGGGCTTGGAGCAATGCCTGGTACAGAGTAAGGGTTCAAGAAATGTTCGGGAGTAGCTAGGTGGCGCAGTCAGTTAAGCACCAACCCTTGGTTTGGGCTCAGGTCATGACCTCGGGGTCGTAGGATGGAGCCCAGTGTCATGCTCCATGCTCAGCACAGGGTCTGCTTGTCCCTCTCCCTCTCCCTTTCCTCCCCCCCACCTCATGCTCATGCTCACGCTTTCTCTCTAAAATAAATAAAATCTTAAAAAAAAAAAAAGAAAGAAAGAAACGTTAGAAGAGGTAAGGAATGGAAGAAAAGCAGAAGAGAGAGACAATCTCCCTGCTTCCAGGGGGCTTAGATCTGACGGGAGTAAACAGGATGATAAACTTAGAAAGGAAAAAAAAAAAAAAAAAGGAAGGAAAGGAGAGAGGGAGAAAAGAAGGGGAAAAAATATCCAACCATGATAAGTGCCTTAGAAACACTTATGTTTAACACTTCATACCTGGGGTCAGCAGCCCCCCGGGGGGCAAATCCAGTGTGCCACCTGCTAGCAAATGGCTTGTGAGCTAGGAATAGTTTCCATGTTTTCAAATGGTTGAAAACAAGTATTACGAAAATGACAAGAAACTCAAATCTCAATATCCATAAAGTTTTATTGGAACAAAGTCACTCTTATTTAAATCATCTAAGTGTTCCCACTGCAACAGCAGAGTTGAATTGTTGCAACAGAGTTCAGAATGCCCACAAAACCTAAAATATTTACAGTTTGGCTCTTTACAGAAAAAGTATGCTGGCCCTTGCTTTAGACTGAGTGAGTGAGTGGTCAGGGAGGTCCTTCCTGAGGAGGTAACATTTAAGCTGAGACCGGAATGGCAAGAAAGAGGAAGGTTGGGGGTAGGAGGGCAGAAAGAACAGAAAACTAAGGTAAAAGCTTCTCTCTAATCCTATAACAGCCTTCCAAAGAGGGGCTCTGTCAAAAGCGATGATGGGACTCTGAGGTTCTGAAGGTGCAGTGGTCCCCCAGGGTCACAGAGCCATGGATCCTGAGTTGGGATAGGGAACCAGGCCTGCATGCCCTGTTCCAGGCTCTTTTCGGCCTGGCATGGCACAGGAGCCTAGGAACTGCACATTGAATGGTTTTATTTGCCTTCCTGGGGGTAATGACCGGGGATTTTAGATTTGTTCCCAGGAATAGGTGAGAAGAGCCTGGGATTTGCCCTCGGGCCTAAGGGCAGGTGTTCTGTGGACTCCTGCTTGGCAGCAGGCCTCTGACTATCATGAAACAGGCCCTGATAACAGGATCTATGGCAAGGGCAGTGGGTGAAATGCCAGGTAGAATGGGGCGACCCTCAGAGAATCCAGGAAGTAGCTTTCATCCTGAGGAGCCCACAACTGGCAGCTTGATAGAAAAAGTCCTACCCCCAGCTCCCAGCGGCCCGACTCCAGCCAGGATCTTCTGAGGCTGGAAGGAGACTGACTCAGACAGAACCCCACTCTCAAGCTTCTATGAGCCAGTTCATTTCTGCCAGGCTCTGTGATAAAGGAGAGAAGTAGGCTGTTGGCCCCACTTTAGAGCCAGAGAAATTGAGGCCATGTTAACAACAGGGGGTACTTGGTAAAAACACAAACTCCACGCCTGAATCCTGGCCTCAACATTTTCCAGTGTGTGATTTCAGGCAAATGGCTTAACTTCTCTGTGCTTCACTTTATAGATATGATAGTATCTGCCAAAAAAAAAAAAAAAAAGTAAGGAATTAAGGAAACAAAAGTTCAGCACCACACCTACAGGAAGAACTCAATAAACATTGGCTGACCCTAAGCACATTCTCTGTTAGCTTTGACAACAGCCCTAAGAGATTCTAGAGTGGCAGAGGATTCTGGGTATGAGCCAGACAGATCTGTTCTCCACCCAGTTCTTCAGGGCCAAAACCTTGAACGCATCCTTGACCCTTCTCTTTCCTCTACACACCACAGTCCCTCAGAAAATCCTGCCTTCAATATATACCCAGAAGCCAATCATTCCTGTCATCTCCATGATATCACCTTAATCCAAACTGCCATCAGTTCTCACCCAGATTAGTGCAAAAGCCTCCTAGCTGGTCAGGGGGCTGCCAATCGCCCAACTCTCCCCAAGCAAGCAAAGGGGTCTTGATAAAAAGTCAGGTCGGAGGACTCCTCTTCTCAAAACCCTGTGTTTCCTAACATGTCTAGCTTTAACTCCTTTATTTATTTAATGATCATTTATTATTGAGTACCTACTATGTGCTACGTGCTGCTCTAGACACTGGAGATAAGACAGAACAAAACAGACAAAAACCTCTGCAGTCAGAAAGTTTACATCCTCCTGAAGGGAGGACAGTAAGCAAATGTAGAAGTAAAACAGATAATATGTTAGGTGTTATGGAGAAAAATAACTCAGGGAAGGTTTTGGATTTTATTTTTATTTTTTATTTAAAAGATTTGTATTTATTTATTTGAGAGAGAGAGAGAGCGCTGGGAGAGGGGCAGACCCCTGCACTGGGCAGGGAGCCTGCCATGAGGCTTGATCCCAGGACCCTGGGATCATGACCTGAGCCAAAGGCAGACACTTAACCAACTGAACCACCTAGGCGCCCGAGGTTTTAGATTTTAAACAGGGTGGTCAGTGAAGGCGTAATGAACAAGGTAAGAGTTAAATAAAAAGTCCCAAAGTGGGAGAAGGTGAGATCCAAGGGGCAACTCACAAGTGGAGTATTCTAGACAAAGTCCTGAGCAGTACAGAGGTGGAAGTGTTCCTGGCGTGTTTCACGCACACAGGGGAAGCCACTGTGACCACAGTGAAAAATGTGCAGGAGGGGGAGAGTGGATTGACCTCAGAGGGGTCAAGGGGGCCGGGTTGTTGAGCCTTGTGGGTTCTCCAAGTCTTTTTTTTTCTTTGATTGAGATTAGAAGCCAGTGGAGGTTTTATTTTTTTATTGTTATTATTAGTTTTTTTTTTTAAGATTTTATTTATTTATTCATGAGAGAGAGAGAGAGAGAAAGAGAGAGAGAGAGGGGCAGAGGGAGAAGCAGGATCCCCTCTGAGCAGGGAGCCCGATGCGGGACCCGATCCCAGGACCCTGGGATCATGACCTGAGCTGAAGGCAGACGCTTAACCATCTGAGCCACCCAGGCACCCGTTATTATTAGTTTTAAAGATTTCATTTATTTCAGAGATCATGAGGGGAAAGGATGGGAGGGGCAGAAGGAGAAGCCAACTCCCTGCTGAGCCAGGAGCCCCAGGACTATGCGGGGCTCGATTCCAGGACCCTGGGATCATGACCTGAGCTGAAGGCAGACGCTTAACCCGTTTAACCACTGAGCCACCCAGGTGCCCCCCACCCCCCCAGTGGAGGTTTTAATTTAAGTAAGGGAATGACTAGAGTTTTAAAGGATCACTGTGCTGGGCACCTGGCTGGCTCAGTCTGAAGAGCATGCGACTCCTGATCTCAGGGTCTTGAGTTCAAGCCCCATGTTGGGTGCAGAGATTACTTAAATAGATAAAAAACTTAAAATTTTTTTTTTAGGATCACTGGGCTCCTCTGTGTGAAAGATCACAGGGAACATCGGCAGAGCCAGTGAGACAGTTAATGGTTTAGGCAGCTACAACAGCTTTTGAGGTATGATGGCTTGGACCAGGAAGGAGGTAGCAACAGCAGAGGTGATGTCAAACCCACACGCCTTACACAAGGTCAGGAGCCCTCCTGATGGGGTCTCCCTTACCCCTACAAGCCTTGTTCCTTCCTGTATCCCAAACCCCACAGACCACAGCTAGGCATATACAGGTGCCTAACGAGTATTGGTTGACTAAACAGACAAATGAATGAATGATCCAGGCCTAGGTCATCATCACCACCTATTTTATTATCTTTTAAAGATTTATTTTAGAGAAAGAGAGCATGAGTAGGGGGAAGGACATAAGGAGAGAAGCAGATTCCCAGCTAAATGCAGAGGAGGGCGGGGGGGGGGGGCTGGATCCCATGACCCTGAGATCATGACCTGAGCGGAAATCAAGAGTCTGAGGCTTAACTGACTGAGCCACCCAGGTGCCCCTCATCATCACCTATTTTAATGATAGGCATATAGTCAGAAGTCAGTAAATGCTTACAAATAGAATACTGCACAATTCTGCAAGGCCAGGTGTCTAGTCCTCTTCACAGGGAGGAAAACTGGGGCTGAGACTGGGGAAGTGTCCCCTGGGGTCCCTCGGCACAGCCTAGGCTAGAAGCTAGTCCTTCCCAACTTTCCGTGTCAAGTCCTGGACACTGGCTGGAGAGTGTCTGCTCTCAGGGTGAGTCACAGTGACCTCACGGGAGCTCCCCTCAAAGCTTCCCCGCCCCGGGCTGGAGAAAAGCCAAAACTCCATAGGGCCAGGAGGTCGCCAAGCCCAAGCCGATCAGGGGTCCTAAAAGTGCCCTGGCCGGATCCTCCTCCGTTCAGGCCACAGAGACGAAGAGACAGAAGGGCCGCTTGCTCACGGCTGAGGCCCCGCCCCCCGCTTGTCGGCCGGCCCGCTCCTCCAGCGGAAGCCGGAAGCAAAAGCAGTCCCTGCTAGCCCCCGGCTCCGAACTCGGTGGTCTTGGAGGCTCCGCAAGATGAGGGAGAAGATGGCGGAAGAGGAGTGAGTGGGTTTTTCCCGGGCGGCGGAGGCGGCAGGGCTGGGCCCCGGCGGGTGACAGCGAGAGCCTCAGGCCTCCCTCTGGCCCTGAAAGGCGGAGCTCCTTGTGGCGCTTGGCCAGGACTGACCATGCCGGCGCCAGCGAGGAGGGCGGGAGGGACGGGCCTGGGCGCAGCCCGGCCCTGCAGCCTCCTAAGGTCGGATTCTCGTCTAGGGAACCGGCCGCCCGGGGCAGGCCTCGAAAGCCGTCCGGCGGAAACCGAAACCCCAATTCCACTTTCCCATTTTTCGGTCTTATGATCAGGGAGAGCTCCGCCGCCTCCTCCAGGAAGTCCCCCACCCCCTCTTCCACTGTAACGGTCGTTTTTCGCATCTGTTTCCTCCACGGAGTTTCATTCATTCGTTAACTGTTGGCCATTTACTCTATTCCAGGCCCTGGGCACATAGTAGTGAAGGAGGCCGACCAGGAGCCGCCCTCAGGTAGTTTCCATTCTAGTGGGGAAAGACCCTAAGTAGGCAAGATGATTTCAGAGTGCTAAAAGAAAACGGAAGTGTTAGGATGGGAGAGTCCGTCTAGGAAGAAGTGACGTGCCCGCCGAAACTGTAATGAGGAGGGAAAGGAGAGAGAACAAGCGAATGCAAAAGGCTGGAAGCAAGAAGGAGCTTAGTGTCCATGAGGGACAGAAGGAAAGGCAGGATGGCTGGAATGTAAAGAGCGAAGGGGCTAGCTGTACAAGATGAGATGAGGGGCGGGGGTGGGCGTCCTGTGTCCCCCAGGTACTTAGCCGGAAGGACCACTCTTTAGTCCGTCTCCGTATCTGCCGGGCACAACCTATTGCATGTTGTAGATGCCCTATCTATGTGAACCGGTTTGTAAAAATTAAAAAGGAATCCCCGTGGTTGAAATCTGACTCCCTCACCTGACATCTTTTCAGATATGTCTCTTGGCTGGCTGGGTGGTCATTTCATTTCGTCTGCTCATTTATTCAGCATATGCTCTATTGCGGACACCAAACTGGGCCTCAGCAACACAAAGCAAAAGAGGTGGTATGGCCCAGTGATTTCAAGTTTGGTCTAAAACTTGGTTAGCTGAGATATCGGCCAGGTTATGCAACCTCTCTGAGCTTCAGTTATTCATGGGTAAAAAAGGGAAAGGAATAGTCACCTCAGGCCTGGTATGCCTATTAAATGAGAGGTTGTGTGTTATATAATCCCTGGAGTGAAGCATTTACTCAATAAACATGAGCTGTTATAATCACAATTGCAATGATAGCACTAGTTTACAGTCTGACCCCAAAGTGAGGAGAGAGCGCTGGTGAAGGACATAAGAGGTGGGGTGGGTGCAGTATTACAGAGGAGGTTACATTTGAGCCTTTAGAAATCTGAGGATTTTATAAAGTGGGGTGGGATGTTCCAACCAGATCAACAATTGGGTAAATTCAGGTGGCTTCTTCAGCTTGCTGCTATAATTCAAGGAAAAGAATGTAAACAGGAGAAATAAAGGCGCCAAGTAAATAACAGTGGATCTTGGAACGTGATGAGACTTCAGTTTTTGTCTCCATTTAAATCCCCCATTAAATGCCAAAGAGCAGGCAGCATTTTGTTTCTGCACTGGCCCTGATACCCCCTCGTTCCTGTCCTCTGAGTGGCTGTGTTCAGAGCACCTGAAACCACTGGTACTCTCCTGCTGTGGCAGGCAGGAATTTTCTGAATCAGTTTCTCTCTGAGGCCTGCCAGTGGTTTTAAGACTTGTGAATCCCATCATCCTCTGTGCCAGGTGCTCCTTCTGTTTGTGTATGTTTGTTGATACTCAGGCCCTTTTCCCTTTATCTAATCCTGCTGCTTTTTATGTCCAACAGGTTCCCTAACACAACTCACGAAGGTTTCAATGTCACCCTTCACACTACCCTGGTTGTCACCACGAAACTGGTGCTCCCGACCCCTGCCAAGCCCATTCTCCCAGTGCAAACGGGGGAGCAGGCTCAGCAGGAGGAACAGTCAAGCGGCATGACCATCTTCTTCAGCCTCCTCGTCCTAGGTGAATGTGGAGACACCCTCATTTGCCATCTTGAGTGTCTGTGTGTGCTGTCTATAAGGTCAACCCTGTCTAAGCCACCATTTACTTGATGTCAAGTCTTCCTTTCATTCGGTTTGATGTCAAACACTGAGGGACAATGATCGGTTCATAAGAGGTACTCCTTTTTCTATAAAATCATCGAGCCTAGCAATTTTGAAGAGCTCTTCATATAATATCTTAGATGTCATTTGGAAGAAAGAAGGGATTTTTGACCTAGAAAGAACCTTGAACGACTTCTAGTTTAATGGATTTCAAACACTACTCATGAGTGTGTGTGTGTGTAGGTGGTGGTGGGAGCAGGAGGTGGGCTGAGTCAAATGGGAGGGCATCTGACTTTCTGACCAGAGCAGCATTTTGTCTCCTGTTAGGCTTCTGTGTAAATTTTATTTAATTAAAGGTTTTGTTGCTGAGTAAAAGATCAAACACCCCTTTCCTTACCCTCTGTCTCCCATTAACCGTGGTTATGACTTTTACCATGTCTGTGTACCACCTATGTTGTTGTTTACTTATGTAATGTTTTTCTTTGAACAGATTCACTCTCAAAAGTCCCGTTTTGTTCAACCTCCTCCAGTCATGGGTGAGAAAATTTAGGCCTAGAGAGATTAAGCAATTGACATGCCTGGTTTCTGGGAGACTAGAGATTAATATTTGGGTTGCCAGACATCAGTTGAGAAGTTTAGGTAAAATGCAATAACTTAGATGCCTCCTAGAGACTGTACACAACTGTTTTAGACCAAAAAACAAAACAAAAAGTCGAAACTGCATAACCACTTTGGACCAGCTGACAAAGGAAGAAATAACTTCAAATTTGACCCAAATCCAAACTCTTATTGGATGAGTAAAGTTGGCATATTTACATTTTCCAGTTTTCTTTTCATGATACTGAGCCATATTTCTAATTAGATTAGGTATTTTCAGAGGAGTGGGAACTACAACGTGATTGAAAGGCACGAAGCATTTCGCTGATGTCATTGAGGACTTTTTTGAAAACTGGAACTTCTTTCACATTTATATTCAGATTCTGTTAATGGTCAAATAATTTTAATAACCTAATCATATGATTTAAAATCCCAGGACTCAGCCTTATCTCTCACAGATCCTAAAAACTTTTAAATTGGGGCACCTAGGTGTCTCAGGCGGTTGAACATCCGACCCTTGGGCTGCATGGCTGTGAATTTGGGCCCTGTGCTGGGTTCCGCACTGGTCGAGTAGCCTGCTTAAAAAACAAACCAAAACCAAAAAACCCATACAACTTTTAAATCGAATACTGCAAAAGTACACAAACCACAAGCGTGCAGTGTCCTATATGGACCTGATATGCTCAAGTAATTGTGTACCTTGTGAATGTAGTTGAATTCTGCTCCTAGGGGATTACTCCGACAATCAAAGACTCTTTTGTTTTTCCTTTTTCCTCTGTGATAGTAGTTGAATATAAACAAAAGCAGTTCTTTTCTTGATTAAGCAGTCTTTAGTACCTGAATCCTTAATCCTGAAGGACCAGTATTATTAGCCTTTTTACATTGTTGTCAGCTTGGTAAGGTAGACAGCAAACAAGACAGGCCTGGAAGAAAACTTTTGTTTTGTAGTCACTTTTGTTTCTTGGGAAGATAATAAGGCTAAGTCAGACTTTCAAAGTAATTTTCAGGGTGTGGGGCATTGTAGGTTAGTTTGTGCCAGAAACCACAAAACAGGTTGTTATAGTGCTTTTTAATCCTGGCAAGACCCTGTGCAGTGGTAACACATCTTTGGGGCCAGAAAGGTCTGAGCTGTATTTATTAGTGCTATATATTTTACTTGGATCGTCTTTTCAAACAGATCATAAACCTAGAGTCACACTAGTGTCAGGTGGGTTTTGTTTTCGCCTCATCAGACTGTTGGCAGTCTACAAATTGGTATCTCCACTTTATATGGGTAGGTCAGCGTGCAGTAGCAGAATGGAATGCTTTCTTTTTCAATAAATTTGAAGACATTTTTACTCCTTCCTTGTATGTTATCAACAGTATATTATATATCTTAGATGTCCAAACAATATACATCTGATAAGGTTAAAAAAAATTAGTTAATATGTATCTTGCTAACTCACTAAATACATGAACTGCAGTGAATTGAGGGAAATACTAGTCCATAGTTTATTCTAGACTTCAGGAACTCCTAACCTGGGACACATTTAACCACTTTTGCTTACTGTTTTATTTTTTTTTTTTTTTAGGATTTTTATTTATTTGACAGGGAGAAAGACAGCCAGAGAGGGAACACAAGCAGGGGGAGTGGGCAGAGGGAGAAGCAGGCTTCCCGCAGAGCAGGGAACCTGATGCGGGGCTCGATCCCAGGACCCTGGGATCATGACCTGAGCCGAAGGCAGACACTTAACGACTGAGCCACCCAGGCGCCCCTACTATTTTATTTTTTTTTAAGATTTTTTATTGGGGCGCCTGGGTGGCTCAGCTGGTTGGGCGTCTGCCTTCGGCTCAGGTCATGATCTTAGGGTCCTGGAATCGAGCCCCCTGTCAGGTTCCCTGCTCAGCGGGGAGCCTGCTTCTCCCTCTCCCTCTGCCTGCTACTCCCCCTGCTTGTTTTCTCTGTCTCTTTATTATTTCAGAGAGAGCACAGAGAGGGGAGGGGCAGAGGGAGAGGGACAAGCAGACTCCCCACTAAGCAGGGAGCCCAATGCGGGGCTCAATCCCGGGACCCATGAGATCATGACCTGGGCCGAAGTCAGACACTTAACTGAACCCCTCAGTTACTGCTTTTGTTTACTATTTTAGTCAAGTCAAATGAAAGTGTAACTTTTATGTCCTATAAGCTTGTGAAAAGATTTCAGTGTATTCCCCTTTTTTGAGGGATGCCAAAACTCTTGTTACTTTTGACTTCAGAAGTTTGAAATCAGTTGATTTACACTTAACCCTTGATGATCTTTGACTCTGCAGAAACAATGGTGAGTCATTTTTTTTTGACTTACATTAGAGTTAACAATTAGCATCATTTGACATATTTTATGGGCCATTAAATTTATGGAGTTATTAAAGTTGATATGCCTATGTTTTAATATAGTTTCCATAATTATTACTTCAGGCATGAACATTTAGAAGTATATTAACTTGTGGTATACCTATTCTCCTTACCACACGGAAGTTTTTGTCCTTTTTTTCCAAGTATACTTGAAAACATGTACTTGTTTGTGTATAGGCGCATATACGTTCATAAGCACGTTCACACGTATAGGCACATCTAGCTTGGATTTTGTTTGTTTTAATATAAATAGGATCCTATAACTTGCTTTTTCATCTCACAGAATGTCTTGGAGGTCTTATGGTATTACTCTTTTTTGTATCTACTTCATCTTTTTTTCTTTTTTCTTTTTTTTTAAAGATTTTATTTATTTATTTCAGAGAGAGAGAGAGAATGAGAGATAGAAAGCACGAGAGGGAAGAGGGTCAGAGGGAGAAGCAGACTCCCTGCTGAGCAGGAAGCCCGATGTGGGACTCGATCCCAGGACTCCAGGATCATGACCTGAGCCGAAGGCAGTTGCTTAACCAACTGAGCCACCCAGGCGCCTCATCTTTTTTTCTTTTAAAGAATGTGTATTTGTTAAAAGAAACAAAATATATCCCATTTTAACCATTTTACAGTGTACGATTCAGTGGCATTTAGTACACCCACGATGTTGTGCAACCACCACCATTATCTAGTTCCAGAATGTTCTCATCACCCCAAAGGGAGACCCAGTACCCTTTAAAAGCTGTCACTCCCCATCCTCCCCTACCCCCAGTCTCTAGTAAACACTATTTTGCTTTCTATTCCTAGGAATTTGCCTATTCCGTTTCAGGCAAATAGCATCATACAATATGTGACCTTTTATATCTGGCTTCTTTCACTTAGCATTGTATCTTCGAGGTTCATCCGTGTTGTAGCGTGCGTTAGAACTGCGTTAATTATTATGGGTGAATAATAATCCCCTGTAGATATACCACATCATGTGTATCCACTCATCGATTGATGGACATTTGGCTTGTTTCTACGTTTTGGCTATTGTGAATAGTGCTGCTGTCGACATTTGTGAGAAAAGTCAGACGTTATTCTTATTTTGGCGACTGAGGAACGAAGGCAGTTGGGAGGGAGGTGGTGGGTGCCTGTGATTAAGGGTCCAGGGTTGGAATTGGGCTCAACCCTGCAGCACCCACCAGTGATGTGAGATTATGATAATAATTAGTTAAGAGGGGTGTTGGGGGTCAAATGAGACAGTGTTTGGGAAGTGCTCAGTGCAGCACCTGGCTCATGGGGAGACCTCTCCCAGTGGGAGCCCTAGTACCTAGCTGAGGGGCAGGCACCCCATCTTTTGGTCTCTGATGTTCTCATCACCAGACCAAAGTATTTACTTTGTCCCCGTTGTATAAAACTCTCACTTCTCTATTCCAAGAGAACCTATCACATGGAGGCAAAATACATTGTGTCAGCATCTTCTGTTGCAGTTATATTTGCATAAAAGTGATTGATTTCATTGACTTCCTTCTCACCATTTCAAGTTTTCCAGTTGATTATTTCAAAAAAGTTGAAGACTTCTCAGAATCAGATTGATTCAAAAAATGATTGTATGAGGCTTAACGGGTTAGAAAAACATTAGATGTCTGTTGCTCTTTCAGTAAACCCTGGAAAACAAACTAGTCCAGGCATATAAAGAAATATGGAGACAATGTTATAAACACTGTGAGTCTGTTTCCAGGTTAAGAAATAAGAGCTTGAGGGGCGCCTGGGTGGCTCAGTTGGTTAAGCGACTGCCTTCCACTCAGGTCATGATCCTGGAGTCCCGGGATCGAGTCCCACATCGGGCTTCCTGCTCGGCGGGGAGTCTGCTTCTCCCTCTGACCCTCTTCCCTCTCGTGCTTTCTATCTCTCATTCTCTCTCTCTCTCAAATAAATAAATAAAATCTTAAAAAAAGAATAAAAAATAAAAAGAAATAAGAGCTTGAAAATATAACTGCAGTTTATTGTGTCATTGTCCCTTGTACATTTTCCTGGCAGCACCCCCAGAAGTAACCATGGCTTTGAACTTGGTGTTTATTATTTGAAATTGTGCCATTTTAACAATGTCTTATTTTTCCCCCACAGCTATCTGCATCATATTGGTGCATTTACTGATCCGATACAGATTACATTTCTTGCCAGAGAGTGTTGCTGTTGTTTCTTTAGGTAAGTGCTTATCAGTGATCCTATAATAAAAGCAGTAACAATAACATTTTTTTTTTAGTGTCTTCTTAGTGCCAGGAACCACATAAGATGTGGTACGTTCCTGATTTCATTTAAGCCTCGCTGCCACTTGCCATGAGGGTGTTATGATCCCATTTTACAGATGAGGTCACTGTGGCTTCAGAGAGGGGCGATGACCCCCTAGAGATCACATAGATGCCCCTCTGTATAGCTTGAAGGCCTTTCTGCTTCTAGAACTACCCTTGGGGCACATTGACCTCTGTTACCAGGCTGTGCAGACACCCAACTCAACTAAGGCGAGTAATTGACACTTAATTCATAGGGTCACTGAATTTTATAGCCAGAAGGGACTCTCACTTTAGGTTTAGGAGTAGGAATGGCTCACTTCCATGTCAGTCAGATCTAAAGTCTTCAGGAGCATTCCATTCTACCTCACTTAATTTCTCTCTTATTTCCTGCGGCAGTTAATCGTTAAGATAGCCTCTGTATGTCAACTATAATTCAATAATAAATAATAAAAGATAATTAGCCTCTGTTTAGAGGGAATGAATCGGTGTAATAACAGATGCGAGCTCACCTGACAGTTAATTGAAATGGTTAATGAAGGAAAGTATAGGGACCTTATTTTTCAGTAAGTATTAAAATCAAGACTAAAATGTGGGTGGGAAGGGCACCTGGGTGGCTCAGTCATTAAGCATCTGCCTTCGGCTCAGGTCATGATCCCAGGGTCCTGGGATCGAGTCCCACATTGGGTTCCCTGCTCGACAGGAAGCCTGCTTCTCCCTCTCCCACTCCCCCTGCTTGTGTCCCTCTCTCGCTATCTCTCTCTCTGTCAAATAAATAAATGAAATCTTTAAAAAAATAAAATAAAATGTGGGGGGGTGCTTCAGGCATAGTATATAAGCTTTCACTAAGATCAGCTAAGGCGTTCATGAGTTTATGATATTGTAGTTACTTTTATTAGATTCCACTTGTCTCCTAATGATATTTAATTTTTCCTTATCATCATTGATGGTCTGTAAGTTAATTTTCTTTGCCTTATAGGTCTTGTTTAGCATATGTAGTAATACTTTTACAGTACAGCGATGGTTTAGGTTAGCTTTGGAGATGAACATTCAGACTTTGATTCACCTCCTCCTGTACCATCTGCATTCCTACTACCCTGGTTCAGCCCCTCCTGTGTTTTCCCTGGGCCTCACGTTACTACTAAGTGTCAGGTTCTCGCCTGTGAGCTTTTGCATTGCCACCTCATGTAAGCCTCATAACCCACCAGTGATGCCACATCTTAAGGAGATACACCACTGGATAGTACTGATCTTCAGTGAAGAGTTGGAAAACAATTTTTCTCAGAGTTCCCGTTCTTTATTTAGCAGGCTCTAGGGTGGCACATCCTGGCAGATTCGAACAGCCTTAGCTAACGAGACAGTCTTTGAGCTCTAAGCATGGGATGATCATTTATTAACATCCCTTTCCTGCTATCAGGCATACTAAAAATAACCTACACAACTAATACCTATTCTGGGACATTCAGTAAAGACTTAAAACATGACTCCAAGGAATGTACAGTTTTGCGGTCAGTTTTCATAGTTTCTTAGAATAAGAACTGTAGTTGGTGTGTGTTTAGGTATTCCATGTGCACATGGAAACGATAGTTCTTATAATTTGGTTTGGAATGTCATGTTCTTCACTCTGAATGTTTGGGTAACTGCTTGTATTAGGAGTTACAGCAGACATTGTTGCCTGCCCAAGGCCCTTTCCCCCTTCTTCCTTGAAAATAGAGCCCTAATTTTGATTTTATTTATTTATTTTTTAAAGATTTTATTTACTTATTTGACAGAAATTGATAGCGAGAGCAGGAACACAAGCAGGGGGAGTGGGAGAGGGAGAAGCAGGCTTCCAGCCGAGCAGGGAGCCGGATGCAGGGCTCGATCCCAGGACCCTTGGATCATGACCTGAGCCAAAGGCAGACGCTTAATGACTGAGTTACCCAGGTGCCCTGCTAATTTTGATTTTAAATTTGAAGTAACGTATCAAAAGGTATCTTGCCACAGTTGCACTCAAAGAAGACGGGCTCCTCCAGGTCAAGACTGGTCTTTATGCCATCATGATAATTCCACTCTGCCATTGATTGGTTGAACGGGGTGAAGGCAGCGAGGCAGTATGAAACCCCGTTCTGGCCTGTGAGACCACAGAGAAGGGCTGAGGTGCACGGCACTCTATCTTCTCTGATAAAAAAAAAATCTCCCCTACCTTTGATGCTGTCCTGTGAGGATGTGATGCCTGGAGAACTTGTGGACGTCTTGCAATCACTGTGGCTCAGATACAAAAGCCAGAATGCTAGGGATCGCCAAGGGGACAGATGGGAAACCCGGATTCTTGACTGCATTGTTGTTTTGTTGAATTGATGGTTCTAAAGCTGCCTGTTATATGAAATAACAAACATCTGTGGTTGAAGTCATTTTTAGGCAGGTGTTCTTTTACTTGCAGCTAAAAGCATCTTAACTGATACAGGACTCTTTTCACTTAAGCAAGAAAATCAGTTCAAATTGATTCAAAGCAAACACATTGGTGGGGGTGGAGTTGTACACCCATTGGCTCATGGAACCGAGAAAGCTACAGGGGGCTCTAACTTCAGACTTAGCTGGATCAAGTCTCCTGGACTCCGTTTTTCTTCATTTCTCAATAGTGCTTCCCTTTGTTTTGGCTTCACTCTCAGGCAGGCTCTCTCCTGAACCTTTCCAGCTTCAGGTCTACTATCCTTACAGTAGCAATCACAGAGGGAAAAGTGACCTCCTCTTCTCCCTGTTTCCACCAGAAGTTGTAGGATGAACTCTGACCGCATGGCCTCCCCAGCCTGGACAGGGAGTGGAATGGTTTTGGGGATTGGCCAAGGCTCTCCATCCACAGGGTTAATTTCTTCACTGATGTAGCAGAAATAACTAGCCTGTACAGCCAGGTCATGGGAGGGTTGATGGAGAGTAAGTCTTGCTTTCAAAACTTCCGTTAACTAACTCAGGTGATTGGAATGCTAAGAGCAGTTCCAGGGAGAGTGGCAGAGTCCAGAAAGTATTTTTTATTATGTTAGAGGACATTTGGTTAGAATTTAGAAATGCTGACAAAGCTATCAAAATAGTCCTGTATTTCATAAAGCTATGTAAATTGAAGGAGAACTTTTTTTCTCTTACTGGAGCAAAGTGTAACAAAATATTGATATATCCACCATTTCAAGAGTTTCCAAGTTTTGTGCCAACAAAGAATCTAGATGAAGCTGCCAGAGAAAATGGGGTTTTCCTTCTTTCAGGGATAAACTCTCCTGGCCTACCTCTTCTAGCCCAGAGTTGCTTTTCAGTTTGCCGTCATTTAGAGACACAATTGGCCTTTGATGTTAAACATTCAGAGTTCCTAAGAAATTATTGGTATAGAAAAGGACTATCTGCCCTTTAAAAGCACATTTTCCCCCTTCTATTTTATTGTGTTTTCAGATGAATCTCCAGACTTTTCTCATTCTTTATAAAAAAGTATCAATATGAAATTTTAAAAGATATTTTCTTGACCCTTCTTCAAAGCTTTTGGATACTTTCTATACTTATAGAATTCTGTAGCTTAGGCCTTTGAAAAAAATTTTTTTTTCTCTTTTTTGCACAGAGAGCTATACAGAAACAGAAAAATCCTTTTCATTGACGATTTCAGCTATTTTTATTATGCTTCCTTCTCTTCCAGACCATATGTAGGCATATACATGGAGATTAGATGACTTTACTTGGTTTGAGTTTATATCATTTTTTGTGTTCTTTCATTTTTACTACTCCTTCCATATATTAAGTTCATATATTTACTTTTGTTGGTGCTGATTCACTATATATTTTGGGCTGAAATTTATAAGGTTTAAAAATGAAATAATTGTACTGCCTACTACCCACTGTTGTATGTAGCAAAACAGGAGATTTCTCTCCTCCCCTCCCCCCAATCATACTTTATTTTAGAGAGAGGAGAAGTCAGAAGGGGTTAAGTAAGTACTGGAAATTTGCCCTATCCGATGCCAGTATTACTAATTAGACAACCCAGATTTGATTGCATCACTGACTAGGGTATACCGGAGTGCTCCCTTGTCATAACCTTCTTAATCTGTGCCTTTAGTTTTATAAACTCATTCTTGTTTTGACTAAAGGATTTTAATTTTTTTAATTTAGTGCTCTTTGTGTCATTGCGGGTTTTGAGTGGAAAGTGATGAAAAAAATCACTTGGTTCCTGAGTTATTGACGAAAAGTAATTCAGGAAAAAAAGATGTAGTAATGATATTCTAATTGTACTTAAGTTCTAAAAAAAATTTTTTTCTTTTTTTTTTAGACAAAGTGAGAATCCTAGCTGTAACTATAACAGCTTCTGTTCCTTTTTAGACTATTAAAGTCTAACTAATGCTGACACAGCTTACAGTGTCTCACGAGGAACTCTCTGAATCTGAGGTGCTTTGATTTTTCTTTTTCTTTTTCTTTTTTTTTTTTTGAAGATTTTGTTATTTGAGAGAGAGAATGAGAGAGAGGGCAAGCACATGAGAGGGGGAGAGTCAGAGGGAGAAGCAGACTGAGCAGGGAGCCCGATGCGGTACTCGATCCCAAGACTCCAGGATCATGACCTGAGCTGAAGGCAGTCGCTCAACCAACTGAGCCACCCAGGCGCCCCTGCTTTGATTTTTCTCAGAGAAGAAATAGGCATTCATTTGTTGGTGTTAAGAGTAGCTGTCTTAGAGGCAGAGGCCAAAATTGGTTGTCAAATTGACAAAATGATCACATTAGACTCAGGATTTTCGAGGCCGTCGCATTCCAAGGAAGGGTGCTAGCGCAGACTCTTAGTTCCTGGACACAGGTTAGAGGTGATGAGGTCTCCTTGGAACACCTGTTGCTCTTTTACTGCCGTGAACTCAGTGTGTGCTCGGTGTGGAATAGCTTCCTCCTTTTTCCTGGAGTCTTGCTTGGACTTCCCTA